TCACAGTTAAATTTACCATGTCATATAGTTCATTCCCAATACAGTACAGTTTATAATAATAACTTCTGATCAGAATAAACCATGTAGTTAGAGAGGATCTAAATATTACCAATCTGAATACTGGGGACCGTTAACTCATCACTCACAGTTAAATTTACCATGTCATATAGTTCATTCCCAATACAGTACAGTTTATAATAATAATTTCTGATCAGAATAAACCATGTAGTTAGAGAGGATCTAAATATTACCAATCTGAATACTGGGGACCGTTAACTCATCACTCACAGCTGTTATGGTACAAGAATGAACTGTGTGGCCCTGGGCAACTGTGAGCCATATTAATACTCTTTGTTGCTTTATTCATAAAACAAAAAAATTGTATGAAGAGCAGGCTCGTCTTCTTGACCTTGGAGAGTTCATGAACCAAAGCATCAAAAAGGAGGGACTATATTGTTAAATAAAAGTAACTTGCAGTGTACATGTAATTCAGTTTAGGTTTAATTGTACAGATCTTGTGTGTTCAACTTACATTTTTTGATAAGTTAACCCTTTTTATCCTATTATATACAAATTTTATCTTACTTTTAATGTTTGTTCTGCTGTACATTTTATGTTGTTAATATTTACTTTTTCAGCTCATTTGTATTATGGAAGACACACCGTTCAGACTGCTCCATGGAGTTATCTCCCATCAGCAAGTGAAGGAGATGAAATCAAGACAAAAACTGTGGATTTAGCTATACCACCTCCTTCATACATACCTTGTGAAGTAAGGCTTAACTTTGAAGTGCTTACAAACTTAACAAGTTGTGAGAAATTGCCAGCCATGTTTAGTCTTAATAGATTCTTAAAAAAATGATTGAACCCTCCGTGATTTTATTTTGTTTATGTTAACTCTTTCAATTCACCTGTATCATGGAAGACACACACACTGTTGAGATAGCCCCAAACAATGTTTGATGATGTTAACAGCTATAATCCAGAATTATAGATCGTCTGGTACATATATCTTATGCATCTGAGAATAAGTAATACCATATGTCAAAGTAGTACCATATGTCAAAGTAATACCATATGTCTAAGTAATACCATATGTCTAAGTAATACCATATGTCAAAGTAGTGCCATATGTCAAAGTAGTACCATATGTCTAAGTAGTACCATATGTCAAAGTAATACCATATGTCAAAGTAGTGCCATATGTCAAAGTAGTACCATATGTCTAAGTAGTACCATATGTCAAAGTAATACCATATGTCAAAGTAGTACCATATGTCAAAGTAAAATTATATTTTATATATCTGAGATTCTGTTTAGTTCTTACATTTCTGTTATTATTTATCTTTTTCTTTAGCTGCCTCCTGAAAAACAAGTACAAAGGGTTTCATCAAGAGAGCAGTGTGTTACCATGGTGACCAGAACAGCTTCAGTTGACCACAACATGAATGAAACTCTTGGGAATCCGGTAAACTTTCCCGAGTCAAACAGTGAAGAAATGAGGAAAAAGGATGACACTGCAACTCAAGGTGGATTTGATTTTCAGAGTGTTGTGTCAATGGAGCTGTTAGAAGATGATAGCGATGATATCGATCTAACCTTATTTGAGGCTAAGAATGAAGAAGTTATACATAGAGTGTCAGAAATGAACCGGATTGTTCATGATGCAGAACATTATTTAAGTGGAGACCCTCCCGCTGAGAATGACCAACCCGTGAAAGTCCAAGTTGAGAAACCAAGTGGTCACTTAAGGGCTGTAGATTCTTTACTATTTTTGAGTCAGTTGGATGAGGAAGTAGACGACTCCCCAACTACATCACCTCAAAGCATCAAAGACAAACATCCTGACTTAGTTTCTCAATCAGAAAGTGAATCAGACAGTCAGAGCACACCTGGAAACAGCCCACTACATCGTCACCCTCACATACGGAATTCCACAGGGAGTCGCAGTCGGTCCCAGAGGACGGGTTCGAGTTTTGGTCTACACAGTCCTGACATGGATACAGAAAACCAGAAACTAATATCCATGTTGACCCAGCTCCAGTCTTCTAGTGATTCTCCACTTCCTTTTGCTGAAGGAACACTCTACTTGGACCCAGATATAATAGACCTGACCATGATTCCTCCTCCAGTTACTCCAGAGCAGGATGTTTCTCAAACCACCAACCAGCTAAGCACTCCCGTTACCCCATACGTTACTGTGCCGGTAGCCAAAAAGTGTGTTTCGGAGAAAGGTCAGTTAATCAGATCACACATCTGACCTTCATATAACTTGAAAGTTTTCTTTATTCTAATGTTACACTTATTTTGGGTTTGAAGTAATTAAGTTTGTACAATTTTATTTTTTCATACCATTGATTTGTGGGAAAAACAAAACTTGGTTATAGTGGAATAGAAGGTTTGAACTGCCTGTTGAATGAAAACGGGACAATATTTCTGCTTCTATACTGAGGTGTTTTTTAGATGACCCGAAGAAGGACACAGTCTAGAAGCCAAAACATTGTCCCCTTTTTCATTTAACAGGCAGTTACAGTCTAATAAAGTTCTCAAAAGTACCAGTGCTTTGCTATCACATTAATTATCCTTGGTACTTACAATGCTACCACTAGAATTATAAAGTCAGAGCCAAATGTCATTAAGCTTACATATTCTGTCACTAATATATTGGATTATTAAATCCTATCTTCTTTGGTATTACACGTATTCCTAAGTTCTCTCTGGTGTGTGGTTTTATTACTTTATTTATAAAGTCAGTGGCTACAATTACTAAAATTGGTTTCTTATCACTTCCAGAGCTAGTGGAAGATGGAGAGGTGGAGTCAACAGTAGTGGATTCTGCACGAATTGTTGCAGAACTTGACAATCTCTGTGATGCTCTGTCAGAATTAACTCACAGACAAGCTACTGCTTCTCCCATTACTCTAGGTTCTGACAACATTCCTGCATCAGATGACATCAATACTTTTATCGCCAATGTGGCTGTGCCTCCTCCACCAACAGAGAATATCAGTGAAAGTAGCCTAGTGCTCCTTGATGGCCATGATGACCTCTCTACATTTATCATACCTCCTCCACCCAGTATACATCCCAGCACTTTAGTTGAAGACGAAGTTATCGCTCGTTTTCAGCAAGCAGCTGCTGATATGCGACGGATGTTCAGCCAGGAAGATGAGCTAGAAAGTGGAAAGGAATGTAGTCAGAAGTGGTGTGTGGAGGAACAGGATTGCAACATTTCTGAAGTCAGCCTACAGAATTCTGCCATAGAGACAACTTCACGGACGGATCAGAAACCAGTCAGTGTTAGCAACAGTAGTGGGCACCCTATTGCTCAGCTTTCTACAGGTCCTTTGGATTCTGATCCACCAGGTGGAGCTATGGAAGGAGAATATCATGGAAGTGAATCCTCGGGTTATGAGACTCAGACCTCATCACTGACTTCCTGTAGTGATAGGCTGATGAGAGATTTCCCTGTCTACCAGAATTTAAAGGAAGAACTTCATACTTATGCAAACCTGGAGTTTGTTTCAGATCCTGACTATGCTAATGTTAAGTGCTCTGGAAACCTCAATTCCAATGAAACTCTGCTCAAAGAATGTGCCTCAGATTATGAAGAAGTCCATTTTCAGTCATTACCCAAAGGCATTATCCTGGATTCTAGTACGGGTAGTTCTACTGGTCGGACACCTAAAGCTCCACCTAGAACTAGAAAATTAGGTCATTCCCCAAGTAGTAAAAAACACCAATCCAGCTCATCCCACAGTGGTAGTTGTGATGACATTCAAGCCAGTGTTCATAATGAACAAACGGCTGACGTTAATTTCTCCAACATGGTTCGCTCTCAGTCCCTGAGTAACCTTTATGGTTCTGGGTTTCTGTCTTCCTCCATAAGGACTGCAGCAAAACCACCACTGCCACCATCAACTCCTCTTGCCTCAGTAAGTAATGTATTAGGTCTAGTAATACTGTATGTGATTAAAGAAAAATGTATAAATATAGAACTTGCAAACTGTTATTATGTGTTAAGACAGCAATCTGCTTATGATTGATTATTTCTGAATACATTTTTTAGGGTAAAATAAATCACAGATAAGCAGAATAATGGGATTTATAATTTAATGATCCACATTGCAAGAATTCTAAAACCATTTAATACTAAATTATGTACCATTATTTTCCAGGATTGTACCCGAAGAGTGAATCGAACTCAACAACCATTCCAGTTTGATGGTAAGGACATCTTTCATGGTCAGCAGCAAGTCACTATTCCCTGTCCAGCAAAAATATCCAACTCTAAGCACTGGAACAATATCAAGTCAGCAACACTTGGAAGAAACAAACATCATGATGTTGGGCAGAGAATAATGAATGGATTTGCCAGTGATTCATTAAATAACAACCTCGGCGGCTGTATAGATGATGGAATCTTTATGGATGATATCTCGGAATTGTTGATTTTAGCTGCTCCTTCTCACTCCTATTTGGCAGGAGACATTGGAGATACCTTGTTGCTTGGCAATGCTGCTGTCTGTTCAAGGGCAATGGGGCTCCAAAAACATGTTCCCCCATTAAAAACCAGTAGCCCTAAATCTCTGATACGTTCAAGGGAGTCTGTGGTAAATGGTGGTAGCAGCTCCTTGGAGACCAGCTTCGAAGATGACTCTGTGGAACCAGAGCAAGAGGAACCATACTACCAGGCTCAACAAGCCATTGCTGTCATGGTACTTCATCTTGAAGAACTTGGATGCACTTGTGTTAAAAATGTTGAAACTTGTGAATGTGATATTGATAAGTTCATTGCTGCCAAAGAAGCTCTAATAATAGAATCTCGTCAGTTCGTAACAGCATCGAAGTTATTTGTTAAAAGTGCAACAGAATCTTCAGACCAAATGACAGAGCATTTAAATAGTTGTGTTTCTCTACTTGATCGCATGTTCACCGTCAGCGAATTAGTTATCACGCAGCTGGCATCAGCAAATCTGATAGCTTGTCTTGTGCAGAAACTAAAGGATGTAGCAACGGCATATGCACGAACCGTTAGTACAGCTCGCCGCACTGCTGGGGAAGGAATCTTGAACTCTCACCTGGGGATCCTCATGCATGAGGCTACCACCCTTGCTTCTGCTCTTGCATCACTCATGAGAACCCTCAGATCGTTCACCAATCCATAAACGTATCTATCATCTCTCACTTAAGTCCAGGTCTTCCACTACATTGCCATCTTGGTGGTAGGCCCTTTACCTGGCAATGAATGGATTTCTGAAGCTTCATCATTCCTTAGTGAATAAGAACTCACATAAGGTATTTCATGACGAAAGTGGTTTGTCACTAATATTTGGGAACAATACTAAGTAACAGGTGAACACTTTACGATAGAGATATGCATGCGTTGCTGCTAATTTTTCGGGTGAACACTTAACACAAGTTTATTGTATTCCAGTCGATACCTTTACCAATACATGATTTGATGATTTTTTTATATTGAACAGAAAAACAATTATAGGTTAGCTTGCACTATCCACAGAATGATAAACTTGGATGTTTTTCATTTCTGTATTTTGAAACTTTAAAGGGTTATTGGGTTACCGTCTAATAAATCTCACACATTAAAGGAATAGACAAAGTAGAATTGTGTTACGTGTTTAGATCTGAGGCAAATTATTTAATGGATCTCAAAAGGAATTATTTACTTCTTCGTACAGTGTATTTATACTGAAAGTGCATTTTTCAGACATTTAAACAAACAATTAATGAAATATGTAGTAATTTTTTTTATGTATTTTGCCACCAGTTTTACCTTATTAGAATACTACAAGGTAAGAAATCAAGGTTATAATTTCTGGTTCACTACTTTATTTAATACTTGTAAACTGCAGTATTCATATATCCAGTAAAAATGTTTATAATTAATAGAAACAGTAAGCTACTAATACTCAGGTCTACTTTTGTTTATCTTCTACTTGTAATGCTTTGCAATTTTTTTTTTCTTGGAGCACTTATAAATGCGAGGTGTTTTTGTTTTTTTCAACTTTGTTAAAAGTCTATGGGTGGATTAATGCTAAAATGTATTATTATTATTTTAGTAACAACTTTTATACGTTTTTGGAAATGTTTTTCCTTTTTTCTTAGAAATAATATTTTAAAAACTTTTATATATATATATATATATCCTTCAACTAAATGAGGATGCAATGTTTTTTCTGAGCTAGAAGCTGTATTCTGATAGTGTTTAAGCTTAATATTTTGCAGTTATAAATATATATGAAGTAATTTTTATCTGCACTAAAGAACAAAATATTTTTAAGTGACAGATATTTCAGAATTTCAAGAACCAACTGTTAATAGTGCAGTCTGTACATGAAATGACAAGAACCAAAGACAACTTTTGGTTGTGTTGATATCCAAGAACTTCTAGCTAGTGTTATCACATGACATACGTCAGTTTTGATTTCCATATAATGTTATGTTCGAGTTATTTAGTTAGGTCTTGTAGGATTTTGTTTTGTAAATACAAATCTCACGTTAGACTCATATTTATTGTAAAAACCAGGATCAAAGTTTTGGTACAGAATAAGGAAGAATGCTAACCAAGAACACTGATGTATTTTATTACAGTTTCATTAAACACAATGACATGCAAGTTTGTAAAGCTTAAAGGTTTCTTAAAATCATCATCACAATATCCCACATAATACACTTTAATATGAAAAGTCAGTTCCACAATATACTGCAGACCAACCATCTGCTATACAGATGCCACTACTAAACTATTTTTTCCAACGTTTTTCTCAAAATACCTCATTTGTTGTTAGTTTCTTTAATCCCACCTCCAAAATGGGTAAAAAATAAGAATATTTACTTTCCACAACACCAAACCTTTAAAGCTAGTATATCTTTTCATTTACCGTAATCTTGAAACTGACAGCAGAAGCAGTGCAAAAATAAAATTTAGTACTTAAACCTTGATGTTTTTAAATTTTACAATCACACACTTTCTAGAAATGGGTTAAGGTCGATCCTTATACAAAAGTGATCTTTCAGATAAGAAGTGATAAAATAATTCTTCAAAAATATTACTTAAATATTTATATATATAAAGTTTAAATTCATAATTCACCAGCCTGTTTGCAAAAAGATGGTCCCACTGTTTTAGGCAACATTACACTGATGACTGTTATTCCTTCGGTGCTGAAAATAAAGAGAAATTCAACATTATGCAGGGATACGTGTGCCGTTAAAGAAAAACAACAATATACCCATCTTGTATTGTTAAGTTGTGTGATACGTGTTACTATTTATAAATATGCATTGTTTTATGAAATACTCACTGTGATTGTGGAGTATCTTAAGGTGCAGTATGACCGGAACAATATATATATATGTATGCAAATGTTCTTGTAAATATTATCTTGAGACACTCATAATTAAGTTAATCACTTTGCTGTATTTGGTAGAAATACAAGAGCAGATGGAATTCTGTTTGTTAAACACAATTTTCATATTCTTTTGTTCACATTCACCTTAAAATAGTAACAATAGAAATTATTTTATCATAAACATCACAGTAATTTCTTAATCAAAATTTTAACACTTATTATGATCTAACAAATAACCTTGAGTTTAGACTAAATCTATAATTTTAACACTTCTAACCTGCTTAAAACAGGTTGGAATTTTTATTATGATCTAACAAATAACCTTGAGTTTAGACTAAATCTATAATTTTAACACTTCTAACCTGCTTAAAACAGGTTGGAATTTTTATTATGATCTAACAAATAACCTTGAGTTTAGACTAAATCTATAGTTTTAACACTTCTAACCTGCTTAAAACAGGTTGGAATTTTTATTATGATCTAACAAATAACCTTGAGTTTAGACTAAATCTATGATTTAAAAACTCCAACTACTTTGTTCTACTAGCAGGAAAAAGACAAAAATTAATAATTTTCCACGAAAACCCAGCATGATACAAACATAACAGTATTCGATGACGAGGAACCCACTTTGAAACTAATAATGGCTGGAGACGGCTTGAATGGGTAATGAAGAAAAACTTCAATATAAGTTTAACATAACAGCAAATGTACAACGACAAAACCTTGTCGAAACGTTGTACATTTGCTGTTATGTTAAACTTATATTGAAGTTTTTCT